TAAGACGGATGACTTAGCTGAAATTTCGAAACCAGCGCTCGACCTTGACCAGTTAGCCTGCTCGATTTCAAATGCTCGCACAAAAAGACCAAGGCAGGGGAACAAGATATTTCTTAAATAACGGTAGGCCCGTTGGAGCAGACTTCGGAGGCAGCTTCTTTTGTGAGGTGAAAGGTGGTTCCTTCTGTAATTCAGGTTAACAGCAGCATAGGATCCTTTACTATGATCGTATGTTATGAAGCTATTATCGCTCTGCGTTCACACCTCCACAGTCACCAACGGCAGGCTACCTCTGACTGCCTCTTCACAAGAAAAATATATGGTAAGGAAGACATCCCTCGGTCTCTGATGCGGCCGTTCGATGAACACTGCCGACAAAGACAAGGAAGACGGGCATGTTTATTTCAGGTTCATTTGCCGTCATCATCCAGCCATACCAAACCCCAAGTGGTGCACCACCCAGGGCTCGAACACGCGACCTTTTTATCAGAGGTCTACTGTTCCAACCTTTGAACCTCAGGTGGTGTATCACTTGGGATAGGGTACGAACTGCTGATGACGGCTAATGAGCCAGAAATTTTCATTGTAGTCTCCCGAGTCTTTGTCGACAGTGCTATCCGCTTAGCCTACTAGCCGCTGTGTGGCTGCTGCGGGTGTTCAAAAGTGAGTCCCAAGACAGCTTTGGATGAGTGATTTGCGTTAGCGATCGGTGAGCCTTCATCAGCGGGGCTGGCAACCGTTCGAATTCATAGTTCTTTACGGTATCATCAACATAGCATAGTCAATTTTTTTGGCTCGAGAGTTTGAACAGCTTCTTCTTATTCCAGGCTCTGCTGTACTAGATCCGCAAACCGTTGTGAGGCCTGATAGTACCATTACTGAAGGTTTTGTCATAAATTGAGAAAGATATGGCAATTCCAGAATGGTTGCTGAAATGCACTAGAACTGACTGCCTTCAAGCGGGCTTTTTTCTTCTTTGTGTCGCCTAGGGCTCCATTTGATTTGGCCTTGAAATCCATACTGACAAGATACAAAGCCTGGGCCAACTACTTCCAAGGCACACCGAACAATCCGCAGGATCTGACGCGGGTTTGCTACCGTACTGCTCATGGAGCCATCGTTCTGGCCACTCCCAACTCAAGTTGCAGCAACGACGAAGATGGAGCCAATATCATGCAAGCCATCGCCCTGAAATCCCACAGTGACAACATCCGCGTTCTCGTCCAACTGAATCATTTTAGCAATAAGGTGAGTTAATAGCAGACAAAAGCAGAAGATGACTGAGTCGCCAGTCCCCTTCCGAGGTCAGGGGGCTGGCCTCCCTTTGTCTGACCAAATTGCGGGACAAAATACGTCGGCGTACCCTGAATTCGTGTCATATCTGCCCACAGCGTTTCTGCGTTCCTTTGAGTATTCCCAAATGCAACGGAAAAAGGATTTAAACGGTAGTCTGAGATTTCTCAAATACATGAGTATGGAAGTCGCGACTGATAAAATTCTTAGTGTCAGGCTCTGTGGGTATTTGTGAGTGCTGGCCACCAAAGATGTCTTCAGATGAAGAAGAATGTTTACTTCTTTTGATACTTATTATTGCGATAATCTTCTAGACCATAGGCAACTAATTTTGGCTCTCAACTACAGGTATATCGTAGAAACCAGTTAGCAACTTAGTTCTGATAATTTAATTGGTCTGAAAACTGGCTATCACGGCGGTCCGTGGTTTCGTCTTTTTCCGCAACGCTTCCGTGCCCCCTAAACTGGGCACAAATTCGACATCATTGAGCCATAATAAAAAGATGTATCAAAGTTCTGAGTTCAACATAGTGGACTACGTGCAAATCAGCTCCATTGTTTCAGATACGTTTATTAATTAAGGGACTAAGTTAACTTGCATAACATTGATACGGTACCTTTTGCCAGTGAGATTGTAAACTAGGAGCATAAGTACTGTCCATTTCATGTGATAGAGGGAGGTCTGAAGGAAGAATTTCCGTCGCGCAGTTCCCGGAATAACAACCCACTTTACTATTCGTCATAACAAGACTTGTTTGCAAGATTCCAAATGAATCTTGTAGATTAGGTAATACTTCACTGGTCAATTCATGTAGCGACTCGACTAGTACGCTTCGAACAAGGTTACAACTGGTCGAGCACGTTAACTAACTTACAATGCGTCCATTTTTCTAGTTGTTTAGGAGAAAATGTTGGATTTTTAATCAAGGCTGTTTGGCCTGACTATAAGCAGAGTCATTTCCTGAATACCAAACGCTGCTCATTCCCCTGGAGGCATGGTCTTGGCTGATGTTTAGGCACGTTATGATGCTTCAAATTAACATTTGGTCGTCGTCTACCCACCCACTGCACCACAGAAAACGATAAAAGAGTATTATTCCGATCAAAAATAAAATAATTAATTATAGAACCTGCAGGTGTCTACCTCCGCTAACCTCCGAGGTTGTTATTTGTCCTGACACTTTCCGCGTTTAGCCAACCTTGTGTGGATTTATGCATATTCACCTTCCCAACTGTCACCCAAGGCTAAGTAGCGCAGTTTTCTAGCCGGGATTGGAGAAAGCGACCAACGCTGAATCCCGTCCGATCATCTCGACTCTGTCTTGTCACCGGCTCAGGTGGGTTAAGGTGTAAAGTGCGTTAGACAATTTCGGCGTCTAAATTCACTTAAAATGAATCCCTGTTCCCAGTCACCTTCCTTGCGTCAACCCTTTTGTAGCGCATGGTGAACTGCATCGAAATCGGTGCTCGAACTATTAACAATCACATAGTGTACAGGAAAATTGATCATTTAGGCTGCTGCGTGAACCCATGCAAATCAACAAGCCAAAGGAAAGAAGGCTTTCCTTCATGACGTAGACCTTGATGAGTAGATATTATGTGTGGGTCGCTAAGTGCAGCCATGAAGAGAAAGGGCTGTGGTGGCGTGTCTCCAATACAGCCTTCGATGGCCTTGCTAAGGTTTTTCACCTAAAAAAGGCATCAGGCAAGTGGGTGCAGACGGAACAGTCCATAAATGAATGCCCTCTAGTCGAACCGGTAATCCAAACGCGCAATAAGGAAGGCAGAAGACAGTCATATCTTGTAACTGGCTTGCCTTCATTGGGGGGGGGACTTTTCGTGATTGGCGGTGATAGTCATCGTCAGCCTTTTGCTTACAAGATCAAAGTGTCAAAAGCAGTGACTCATTCGGGGCAACTGTAGTCTGACTACGGTGCTGATTCAAACAGTCAGAAAGCATCGTTGCAGGGTTACTGACCGTAGGCGCATAAACATCCAATATCGGACGTCTGTTCATAGTCACCTAGGCCGCTTGGGTGTTAGTCGCGAATGGTTTTTGCATGATGTTTACTTTTGTTTATAGTGCTTACCGGTCGTTGGTGTGATGGTCACAACCACGTGGGGTGGTTGTTACGAGGCAGCATGTGAAAGGTCGACAAGCAACCCTGTTATGAAGAAGAAGAAGATGCGAT